TATTCAGCTTGAAGACATATTTGGTCTGGGACTCCATAGTGTATTTTGAAAAATTAGCTGTCAACATTAAAAATCAAAACATCAAAATCCAAGTATACAGCTCCTCTTGAAAACCACGAAGACTGGGGCACCTGGGTGGGCTCAGTCAGTGAAGCATCCGAGCCTTGGCTTCAGCTCAGGTCGTGATCTCTGGGTCATGAGATCCAGCCCTGCTGACGGCTCCATGCTCAGCACGGAGTCCGCTTGTTCCTGTCCCTCTCGCTCAGCACCTCCTCCCCTCCCACCGCTGCTCGCACACTCTCCTGCCCTCTAAACTATATAAATAAAATCTTAAAAAAAAAAAAAAAGAGGGGCGCCTGGGTGGCTCAGTCGTTAAGCGTCTGCCTTTGGCTCGGGTCGTGGTCCCGGGGTCCTGGGATCGAGCCCCGCATCGGGCTCCCTGCCCGGCGGGAAGCCTGCTTCTCCCTCTGCCACTCCCCCTGCTTGTGTTCCCTCTCTCGCTGTGTCTCTCTCTGTCAAATAAATAAATAAAATCTTTAAAAAAAAAATATATGAAGACCTGAGCCCTGCCGCCCACTCTCCCCAGAGCAATCATGCCACATCTGGAGCGGACAGAAGCCAGGAGCCAAAGATGGGAGCCACGGTCTCTCCAGAGAATCTTACTCGGCATTCTCGGCTCCTTTGGGCTAAGGTCCTGGCCCCTGCGAGCGTCTGCCTTTATGACGCCTGACGTAGGAGCGTTTCTTCACCCGACAATGAGGAAACAGGCTGAGAACAACTGCTGGAAGTCACACACTTCACTATGGCACCAGGGTGAGGAGGACGAGAGCCCTGGGCCTCAGCAAGCGTCCTCTCCACCATAACGCTCAACAGTCAACGCCATGATATCCTGCCCAGTCCAGGAAGGACTTGGGCGCAGCAGAGCAGGAGGCGACCAGCATGAGAGACGGGCCGCAGAGGCGGGACTTCCGGGCGTAGGCTTTGCAAAGGAAGGCTCGGGTGGCAGCACCTGGGAGATTCCCACCTTCCCTTTCAAAGTCCAGACACCCTGGCAGACAGTTCCTGACTTCAGCTGCCGAGCCCCTCACTGCTCTGTCTACCCGGCACCTGCTGCTTCTGACCCCTGCATCGGGCGCTCCGTGCCTCTCGCCTGGATTGTCACAATAGTTCCTTCACTTATCCCCCTTGCTCTGGCCCCGCCGATTCTGATCCCTCGCAAAGCCACCAGAATGATCTTCCTGAAATGAACATCCGATCTGCCCGTTCTCCCAGGGATCTTCCACTGCTCTCCTCCCTCACGGAGCCCACACTCCTCAGCATGTTTTATAAGAAGTCCTGCGGGACCCACCCCAGCTTACATTTCTGGCCACATCGTCTCTTGTTGCTCTCCCCGTCAAGGCCCCGGCCACCTTGCACCTCTGGAATGGACGGCTCCTTCTGCCTGGAACGTCGCCACCTTCACTGGCGGACTCCAACTCAGCCTCCGTTTGGATCTATCTTCTTCAGGACGTCCCTTCCTCCCATCCCCAGACTAGGTGAATCCCACTGGGAGGGGACACCCCCATCACAGAACCTAAAGAATCTCTATCTTTAATTAACTGTCATTCCTGCTGGTCTGTAAGCGCTGGGATTCACAGGTCCCATGTCTGGTTCACAGATATGGCGGCACATAGTAGTAGGTACCTTATAAAAGTTTACCCACTAAATGAATGAAAAGACGGATGAATACGAAGGATGGAGCAGAAAAATGAAGAAAGTCACAATGTCCGGTCATTCTAGACAGGCAAGCCATGGCTTTTCCGGTTTCAGTCTCCACATGTGTACTTTACAAAGAAGACTGGACAATACACCTCAACACCCCAGGACCAAATAATCCCACTAAAAAATAGGCAAAAGACATGAACAGATAGTTCTCCAAAGAGGACATTCAGATGGCCACAGACACATGAAAAGATGCTCATCATCACTCATTCATCAACAGGGAACTGCAAATCAAAGCCACGATGAGGTATCACCACGCACCTGTCAGAATGGCTAAAATCAACAACACAAGAAACAACAGGTGTTGGCGAGGATGCTGAGAAAGGGGAACCCTTGTGCACCGTTAGGTGGGAATGCAAACCGGTGCAGCCACTCTGGAAGACAGTATGGAGGTTCCTCAAACAGTTAAAAATAGAGCTACCCTACAATCCAGCAATCGCACCACTGGGTATTTACCCCCAAAATACAAAAATACTAATTCAAAGGGATACATGCACCCCAATGTTTGGAGCAGCATTATTTACAATAGCCAAGTTATGGAAGCAGCCCAAGTGTCCATCGAAAGACCAACGGATAAAGAAGTTGTGGTACATATGTACAATGGAATATTACTCAGCCACAAAAAGAATGAAACCTGGCCATTTGCAATGACATGGATGGAGCTACAGAGTATCATGCTAAGAGCAGTCATTTAGTCAGTGAAAGACAAATACTGTATGATTTCACTCATATATGGAATTTAAGAAACCAAACAAATGAGCAAAGTTAAAAATAAACAGAGAGATATATCAAGAAATAAACTCTGAACTATAGAGAACAGACCGCTGGTTACCAGAGGGAAGGAGGTGGGTGGGGGGAAATGGATGGATGAAACAGGTGATAGGGACTAAGGAGTGCACCTGTGGTGATGAGCGCCAGGTGATGTGTGGAAGAGTTGAGTCAGTATATCGAACCTGAACTAATGTTACACTGTATGTTAACTATACGGGAATTACCATGAAAAACTTAATTAAAAAAAGAAGACTGGACAAGATCATTTCTTCTCACTCAGGGTAGGGTCTCTGGACTTCTATAGGGCCTATGAAGACAGCAGCAACATTTTAGGAGCAATGTGCAATATTTCAAACCCCCCGAGGGGAACCATGCGCCTTCCCGTAACAAGGGGCCAAAGGCCAGCCAAGCCTCTGGCGACTCCGCGTTAAGAATGTGTTAATTAGTAGGCAATGCTGGTTAGCTCCTACTGAGTAAGGTCAAGATGCTATTGGAGATGCTATGAGAGGTGACCGGCATGGGAGGTTAATAGCATTTTTGATCAATACAACAGAGGAACAGAACACAGAAACAACCTGTTAGTATGTGGTGTGTGTTTTTTTTTTTAAAAACATGAGGCCCATGAGATAAAACAATAAAAGAGTTTGGAGGTGGGGAGCAGACTACAGATTCTTAGGAGAGGGCCAGTTCACCTCCAACTCCTTGGAGTGAAGGCCCCTCAGGTGCTCCTGCAGAAGAGCCCCTTAGCGGGGAGGATGGGGTCGCAGTCTAATCCTCAAGCCTCTCTTTTCTTGGTGGAGGGCGGCCTCCACCATCTGTTCCTTTGGGAAGCCCTCGCCCCCATCCCCGCCCCCAGACTCCCAGAGCTTGTGATGCTGCAGGCTGTGGGGGCTTCCGAAATCTCCCGGAATCAGGCGCTGGAAGCGCAGTCTGGCCACACGGGGGCGCCCTCAGCCCACACACGGGGATTCCAAGGCCCAGCCAGAGCTGGACAGATCCGTGCCGGGAGCCCTGGGCCGGCATCAGAAGCTGGGGCAGCACAGTCCATGCTCTTTGGGAAGACACCTCCCATCCTCCCGGGCTGGGGGTCATGCCGCCCCAGCGCCGCGGACAGAGAGAGGCAGGAAAGGGCTCCTCCTGCTCACAGGGGAGGGCCCGAAGTTAGGAAATCCTGCAGAGACAGCAAGAGAAAGGCTGAGACAGATAGAGAGCGAGGGAGCGAGGGCAAGGGAGGAGAGAAAGAACTCTATTCTATTCCTGCCCTGTCTGGGGACGGTCAGTAACCCCAGAGTAGCCAGGCCAGTATGGAGCTGGGCGCCTGCCCACCTGGAGTCTGACAGACACTGGTTCCAATCTTGGAGCAAAGCCATGTGGATGGGAGCAGGGGACTCTGCTTCTCCGAGCCTCGCTGTTGCCCACAGTAAAAGGGGGGGGGAACCCTGCCAGCCTTTCGGGCTTGATGTGTGGATCCAGCAGGATAACTGGTAAGTGCAAACCATCTCTCCCGGTACCTGGACCCAGGCACGCATCATCCAGCAGCAGAGGGAATGCGCGCCGACAAAAGCCAGAAACAAAGGATTAAAAAAAAAAAAAAAAAAAAAAGGCGTGGCCAGTTACATCTCGATTTACACCTTGTGACTTTAGTTTAGCCACACGGGGACTGTCGGGCTGTATGAATTCGGCAGTCCCTTTCCGTCCAGATGGGTTGTCATTCCATGACAAATGTCGCTCCCCACACAGCTCTCCAGCCTTCCATGAGCTGAGGGCCTTCTCCAGCCGCTGGACGGCCGCCCTGCCACGTGGGCAGAGCTGGGACGGGTCACTGGAGAGTCACAGAGGCGGCTGAGACGGCAACTCAGCCCACGGCTCTGCAGTCGGGCTGGCTGACCCCGGCCTCCACGTGGGTCGGTGTGTAACCGTGGGCTCGCAGCTCCCGATCTCAGCCCCACGCACTCCCGTCCGGGAAATGAAGGTAATAATAGTGGCCGGCCCAGGGACTGCGGCGGGTGGCAACAAACCCCTACTCGTCAGGCACTCAGAAGAGTGCTAGCCGTCACCATCACTTTGCTTTGTTTTACAGAATAGGAAGGGATCTTTCTAGAATGGTTAGATGAAGGTCATCTGATCCCCAACTGGAAGAGGGAGGACATGTATCCCTAGCAGCTAGAGAGAGAGCGTTAGACCGGGAGCCAAAGAGACGTGTCTGAGACCATGTGCCACTTCTAACATTTCTGTATGCAAAGTGGGGTTCCGGCCTGTTCGTCAGGAAAGCGAGGACACTGGATTGCCTAAATGGCCCTGCCAAACCTGGTGGGCAGTGCTCTATCTCTGGATGGACACGGGCAGGTGCAGTCCCCTTTTTGGGTCCCAGCTGCCCCATCTTTAAGAGGGAAGACCTGGACGGGAGGATGCTCCCAGGGAGCGTTCTAGTCCCGGTGCCGCCCGAGCCGGTGTCCCCCGGGCCTCACCTGAGGTACTCATAGAGCCCATACATGGGCAGGAAGTCGATGTCAGACAGGAACATGTAGGGCGTGCCCACGTGCTTCATGGCCACGTTGCGTAGCAGGTTCACAGGGTAGAACTGGCCCTCCTTGTACACAATGTGGTAGGCCACGTTGTGGCGGCTCATGAGCACCTCGGAGCCCTGCGCGTAGCGGAGGAACTGCTGGGCTTCGGCGTCCGACAGGTAGAGGGCCAGGCTGATGGGTCCCTCCCAGTGCTTGCAGATGGCCTCGAGCATCTGGAGCCTGGAGGAGACAGGAAAGCTGAGCCCGCCATGGGCACCTGGGCCACGCGCCACGCGGCCAGCCTCCTGGGGCCGGACGCCACCTCCACAGACACCTGGTCAGCCCACTTCAAATCCAAGTCCCTGCTCTAAACTTCATCACTGTGTGATGGGGGCCAACCCCCAAAGTTGAGTTTCTTTCATCTCTTAAAATCGGCATAAACACACTTACCTGGCTGTTTCTTGTCTTTATCTGCTTCCAGATGAAGGTGGGATACCGACAGAGTCGCATCCCACTGTAAGCGTTCTCTTCTCAGACTCCTTTTTTATGGGGGGGCAGGACGAATACATTAACTGATGTAAGGGTCCCCTTCCAGCTCACAATACCTATGCCTCTCCTCTCTCAGCAAAGATGTCTCGCAGCTGCCCTGCTCTGCTAAAGCAGGGACCAGCATAGAAGATTCAGCCAAACCGAGGCCCTAAGTTACAAGGAGCGTTAAAACACGAGTGATGACAACTATGATCACCAACTCATTAACTATGCACCAGACACTTTCCAGAACTCCCCCAACAACCCTGTGCACGGCTGTAATTTCCCTCATTTCCCTGATGGAGAAACTGGGGATCCAGATGTCCGGTCAGCTTGGATCCTTGGACTTGGACCAGACCTGTCCAGACGGGTACCGGGACAGGGCCTTGGCGACAGTGAGAACAAACACACGCTGGGCGTTTGGCAAGGGAACCGAAAAACACATGAACGCTAGGGACAAAAGTGTGCCTGGCATGATGCTGTCTTCATTTGTCAGAGCCCTTACTGCCCCAGGGTCCCGGGCAATTTTGCGAGGCTTCAGGAAAGGCACCGTGCCAAGGATTATGGGGCGGGGGCAGTGGGGGCGGGCGGAGAAGAAAGCCCAGAGAAAAAAACCAAAAGGTGCTTCTCCAATGGAGAGGGTTCTACAAAAACGTTTGAAGAGAAATCTATGAAGATTTTTTTTTTCTTCCAAAGGCATTAGAAGTGCCTGGCAGATCGGATCTATGGTTAAGAAACCGCAAAAGCCTATTTCAATTTCTTCCCTGCCCAGCAAGAGGTACATAATCAGCGGTCTCCTGGTAGGAATGCCCACTTTATTCGGACAATTACCAGGAAAGAGATTCCATGCGTTTCCCTGCTTCTAAACAAAAGAAAATGGGCACACCTATCTTATGTCAATGGCTTTCTCGATGGACTTTCAGAGTTTCCTCTCTGTAATTCTGGGAATTGCTCTTGCCAGGAGTTGCTTCCTCTTTCATGACGGAGGATTAAGATATTCATCAGGGTAAAATGCCCTCCATTTCTCATACTTTATAACACTTACTAATCAAATTGCCCGGAGCCAGTTTTCTAAGAGGCTCTGCCTTCTCCACAATGCCGACTTGCCCTGGGATCTGCGTTCGGCTTCTGCCGCAGGCCCGGGTCTCTGCTGGGCTCCGAGAACCTGGGGTTTTGAGTGATCCCACCCACACCTCACTTTCACTGTCTGTGAAATGGAGGGAACTGTGCATTCGGAAGGGACAGCTGTTCGTACAAATCCTTTGAGATCTGGGGAGTGAAGGGCAAAGAATGCTTTCTAACATGTGGATGTAAGAGCTCCCGTGTGGGAGGCATGCATGTCTGGCGGGAAGAGAGGCCAGCTCCCATGGTGGAGCCCCACCCCCCCCGCCCCCCCACCGCCTGGGATTTTGACTCTGTGTCTGAGTTTTCTGAGCGGGGAGCAAGAAAGAGAAGCAAGGGAAGCTGGCTCTTCTTCCAAGCTCTGCCAAGGGTTTAGCGTGAGAACAGGGACACAAGATCCTCAAGGTTCTCAGGTGCTGCTGACATGGCAAACATCACATCCGCGTGGGCTTTACCGGAAATGGTGCCAGATGTTCTGTGGAACCTCCTCGAAGGAAGAGTCAAGATGACCCAGCCACTCCTGCCCGTCTGCCACCAGCCCCCAGCTCTGCGACCTCTCTTCCCTCAAAACCAAGCTTCCTGCCAGGACCTGAACAACAGCGACAGACTGAGGTTTATCATAATGATGACAACATATAAAGTGTGATGGCGACAGAATAAATCTCTACCGTTTCTCTGCTGCTTGGAGTGGGCCGGGTGCATTTCCACGGTTACTGCTTTCAACATTCACACTGACTCTATAAAGTTGAGATTCTCATCACTGTTACAGGTAAAGAAGCTTGAGGTGGTGAAGTGACTTCTTTCGAGTCACTTAGCGACACAGCGGGGGAGCTGGATTGACACCCAGGTCTGCCCGACCCCAGTGCCCAGAACCCAGACCGGTGTTCCGTATGGACTGCGGGGCAGCCTGGGATAAATGTCCCCAAGGATTTTCTCTCCGCTGCCCGCTTCCCCGGACACAAATGTGTTCTTCCCTTGAGGTCGGCTTCTGTGCTTTCCTTCCTCCTCCTCCTCAGTCTCTCTGGGGGTCTGCCCCAAAGGCCTGCTGTTCTCTTGACCCTTCTCCTGGCTGGGTGTCCCCACACCTGCACCCTGGAGTTGTCCTGTGCGGCTCGTGTCCACACGGAGTTCTGTGCCAAGTCGGTCTTTGGTCTCTTACACTGGACGATGAAGTACGTAACACAGCAAGGACCGGACACAACGGAGAGTGTTTCAAGAGACAAAGATCAATACCCAAACAACAGAATTTTCCATTTGGAAAGAACGGTAGAGGTTTCCTTGGTCTGATTATGCCATCTTGATGATGAAAAAGCTCAGCCTCGGAGGGGAGCATGGCTTGCTGAAGAGCACGGGGTGACTGAGTGGAGCAGCTAGTGAGCACTGGGACCCACGGTCCCAACTCTGGGTCCCATGCTCTTCTCTGAGTCCCCAGAGGGCCCACCATCACTTCACGCTGCCAAGAGGAGGGCAAAGCCTCAAGAAAGGCCAAAGACATGTCGGGAAGGTCTAGCTGGAAGCCAGGGCTGCCCCTGGGAGTCCTACTGAGACAGGAAGCCTCCTGCGCTCTGTCTAGGGACAGGGGGGCAGGCAGGGAGGCAGCCAAGTCAGAAACCTACAAGACAGGGTTGGAAGGAATTCTAGAAGGCCAGTTGGCCACTGGAATGGGGAGCTGCCTCCCCACAAGGCAGCTGATGAGAGCAAGGCGGGTTGCGTGGGATGGAGGTGCACGAGTGGGCTCTCGGGTCAGCCAGAACTGGGTTTGAACTCTGAGGTGTGTCAGCATTCCTGAGCAAGAGATGACAGTTCTTTTGGCTGAGATCAAGTGAAGAGATGACAGTTCTTTGGGCTTCCATTTCCACATGTGCATAGCGCGGACAGTAATACCTCCGTAGATCACAAAAGGCCTACAAATCATTCCTCTCTCTCAATCTGCAGCCTCTGCGGATACTCCCCACACTGATTCTGGGATGGCCTGGTGACTTGCTCACACGGGACACTAGCAGAGGTGTTAAGCGGTGCTCCTGTGGTGGGGTTTGCCCCTACGGACAAGCCTACTTACTATGCCTCTGTGAAGTGTCCAGCACAAAGCGAGATGTGCAGCAGGTACTCAATATATGGCAGCTCTTCCATAGGTTCTATTTCTGCTTTGCAAACATGCACCCACCCATCAGATACTTATTATGTATCTACAACGTGCAGGTGTACGTGCTGGGCCCTGGGACAAACGAGAAAGACAAGGTTCCTGAACTTCCGGAGCTTCTTTCTGGTGGAGGGAGAAGACACAGAACCAACCAAGACAGATCCCGAGGGGGCGAGGGCTCACACAGAACAGGGAACAGGATGGGGGAACCCTGAGGGCTGGCCAGGGAAGGCCTGCCGGGGATGTGAATTTGAGACTTGGATGAGGAGAAGGACTCGGGCCTGAGGAAGTCTGGGCAAGAAGCTTTCCAAGGAGAGGGAGCAGCTCTTGGGGTAACTGAGGGTAGCATGTTCAAGCAAGAAGAGAGGGAAGATGGGAGAGTGAAGGGCAGGAGGACAGAAGATGCTGGGGAGCCGGCAGGTGACGTGGGGCCAGGAAGGCCACATGGGCAACTGTAGTACTATCCTAAACGCAACGAGAAACCATCGGAGAGTTTTAAAGATGCTGACCTGATATGCAGACGGTCCCCAGCTTATGATGGGTTGACTTAACAATTTTTCAAATTTACGATGGCACGAAAGTGATATGCATTCAGTAGAGACCGTGCTTTGTGCTTTGAATTTACATTTTGTCCCCAGGCTACATCCATATGCAGTGGGGATGCCCTTGTGATGCTGGGCAGCCGACGCCACGGCTCCCGGTTTATCCCCGGGATCACAGGGTCAACAACTAATACACCGACAATCATTCTGCACCCAGACAAGCCACTCTTGTTTCTCACTTTCCCTACAGTATTCCATAAATTGCTTGAGATAGTCAACATTTTATTATAAAATAGGCTTTGTGTTAAGATGATTTTGCCCAGCTATAGGGCAATGTAAGTGTTCTGAGCACGTTTCAGGTTGGCGAGGCTAAGCCAGGATGCTTGGTAGGGTAGGTGTATTAAATGTATTTCCGACTTACGGTATTTTCAGCTGATGATGGGTTTATTGGGCTATAACCCCATCCACCGTTAAGTCAAGGAGGATCTGTCTATTTTTAGAAGATCACTCTGGCTGTTACATGGACAAGGGAGTTCCCTTTCACTTTCTAGAGCAGTGCTTTTCAAACTGAAGCATGCTCAAGATCACTACAGCACTGATTCCTGGGCCCCACTCTGGAGGGGCCCGTCGGCTAGGTCTGGGTGGGACCAAGATTTTGCATTTCCAACGAGCTCCCTGGTGATCTAAAGCGTGGGCCCCTTCACCTCAGCTAACGTTCTCTTTCCTCCACTCACAGAAAACAGAGAAGACCCATTTGCCACGTGATCCCCTGGAGCTGCACTTAGTACTTCGATAACTTTGTCAAAGGAACACAGAAGAGCAAGCGTCTCCTGGCCAGGTGGCCAAGATGCTGTGACCCGGAGCCCTCCTGGTCAGCCCCCTCTGTCCCGAGACCGTTCTCACCTGCTGCTGGGATGGGAGGGCGGTCTCCCACGTGCTGGGAGAGGAGCCGGCTCCACGGCTGTAGCGGGCAATGTTCATTCTTTCTGAACAGAATTCTAGAGGGACCTGGGCACAGGAGCCCGCACACCAGCTCCCCTAATTCATTGTGGCATTCACGTAGGGCCTGCTCCTGACTCAAAGGTTTACAAACACACCCGAAATGTTTCTTCAATTAAAAATCAATCCAACAGGCACCAGTCGGCCTGCTGCATCATAATTGGATGTGCAGGATGGAGCAGAAGGAGGAATTCTTACCATCTCCATCAGCCTGTGGTACTGCTCTATGATTTTTTATTATGTCCCGCTAAGCTGCTCTCGTTAGGGTGTGGAAGTCCTCCGGCTCTCTGGGGTATTGTCAGGATGGCAATACTTGTCACAAAGCGTTAGGGGCGAATCGTGCGCCTGCCATGCCGAGGGATGTGTGCACTCTGAAGGGAAGGGCTCTGTGGTTAGCGTCTGAGGCAGACGTGAGAGGGGCCAGGGTTTTCCTTTAAGCGGGCTGGGAGGGAAGGTTCTGCCGGGGGTACTGTAGCCCCGGCCGGCCGGGAGTCTGCCTCCAGCCGGCGCTAGAAGGAAGGGGCTCTGTTTTGCCTGTATCCTTTTATTGATGGCAACTGTCTACAGAGGGATGGATTTGGGGTGTTAATAATTGAAAAACCTTTCTTTTAATTGTCTGTGCATTCCAGATTGCGAATTCCATAGCTAGCACAGAGGTAAAAAAAAAAAAAAAAAAAAACTATGAAGGGAAGGGAATCTAATATTTGCTGTAGACCTACTACTCACTGGGCACTTTAGAGCCTCTTATTTTATAAAGCCCAGACACCGATCTGTGACCTTGACGGTATCATTGCCACTTCACAGATAAGTCAGATGATGCTCAAAAAGCCTGGGTAACTTGCCCAAATTCATGTAGCTAGTAAGTGGTGCAGCTGGACTTTGAACCCAGATATTTCTCTTTTTGTTTTCCTGCATCACTTTACCTCTCCTAAATACCGACCATGTGCAGATGCTGTGGTCAGGGTTTTCAGATCTGTAAATATTCACTGAATGCAAATATATCCCAAGGGCTTTCGAACACAATCTCTCCTTTAATCCTAATCAGGACCCTAGGAGGCAAATATGTCTTAACTCTCTTTATAGAAGGAGAAAGATAACCAAAGGTGTTGATGCCCTGCCCAAGATCACCATCGGAGGAGTAAAGGAGCCCGTGGAATTTGAACCCAGAGCTCTTTGTCTGTGAGTCTAGTGGCCTTTTGTGTGGTAGCACAAATAGGAAGACTTTGGTCAATGGTGCTATCAAATGACAGGGAGTCTCTGACTGTATGTTGGGGCTAAGTCCTGGCTATGCATGATCTCACCTGGTCATGACAACAACCTTGGCGGGGGCGGCGGGGGGGGGTGGTTACTGTCATTGCCATTCCCGGGTTACAGATGAGGAAACCAAGGCTGGGAGAGCTGGTTTGTCCAAGGGTCAAAGCCAAGAAGTGGCAGAGCCACTAAGACCGCATAGTGCCTGACTCCAGGGACCAAATTATTCAAGGTCAGGCCACTTGATTCTGATTAGAAAGCATGTCAGATTTGTCTCTTTCATTTTCTCCTGAGTTTGGAGGTACCCATTGGCTACTAATCTTGAGTCAGCATATTTTGTTGGTAAATGGAACATATGAACAGGAGGCGTGGACAGGACCAAGGAAAACCAGGGATGCCCTACAAGGTGAGAACCTGGAATTATCTGGAACTCACTCACCTGGGGCAGATTCAGTCTCTGAGCTTCAGGTAACCCTTCTGAGGGGCCTGAGGGGCATTTGTGTTGCCTGAAGAACAGAAGACTAATCTCAGCAATCATTCAGCATGAATCTCAAGGATTGGATTTTATTTTCATTTGAAATGGCAGAGAGGATAAGAGAAGACACATGGGAAGAGAGGTCTGTTAACGGCCCCGTCGCTCGCTCAAGTGCTGCTTGGTGGGGGAGTGTGCGCACCCAAACTGAAGGCTGGGTGAGAAGCCAAAGGGACACAGAAGTGTAGGCGTAAGCCTGGGGCTCTTGTCTAGCTCAGTCCCTTCTGGAGCCTCACTGATGGGTGTGAGCCGGCGGGAGGCCGCCTGTCCTGGTTTCCCCGGTGCCCTCTGTAAACCCATCTGCTCCCCTCTTTCTCACCCACGCCTTAAGCTCTAACCACACTAGAGCCTGTGTGTTCCCAGCGGACCTGGGGGCCTCTTTGTTCCCTGAATATGCTGCACGCTCCACCTTCTCTCCCTGTGTGCTTCCTACCGGCTGTCTACTCGGGCCCCCAACTCCATGCAGGCAACACCTCCCCTTGGACCCATTCCCTGTCTCTTCCTTTCTCCACAGCCCAGACAGGCTGGGGGATCCTCACATAGAATCTCTCTAGAGTAAGAACCTGTTACCTGTCTGGGGCAGGCTGAATTCTAAGCTGGCCCCCACAAATCCTGCCCCGTGGCATACACACTTGTACAACCCCCACCCTTGAGTGTGAGCTGAACCCAGTAATGGGATGGAATGCCACTCCTGTGGGTTACGTGATGGAACAGCCTGCAGAGAGTCTCCTGCTGGCTTTGAAGAAGTAAGCTGCCGTGCTGTCAGAGGGCCACGTGGCTGAGACCTAAGGGTGGCCTCCTGTTGCTCAGAAGGACCCCAGCCAACGGCCAGCGAGGAAACGGGGACCTCAGTCCTGGAACTAAATTCTGCCAAAAGCTGAATGAGCTTAGCGGTGGACCCTGACTCCCATGAGATCACAGCCCCAGCCAACACCTTGATGGTCGTCCTGGGAACTGAGCAGGGGACCCTGCTAGCACCCATCCAGACTCCAGACCCCCCAAACTGCAAGATACTAAATGTTATTTAAGCTGCTAAATCTGTGGCAATTTGTTCTACAACAGTAGATAACTAATACACTGAGTCAGGAAGATGCTATCTACTCCTTGAAAGCAAAAATAGGGTCTTCTTATAAATATCCCCAGCTTCACAAGAGCCTGGCACACCACAGTAATAGATGCTTACACGATATTTGCTGAGTGGTCACGTGAATGTTGGAGATTCGGAACCTGAGGCCACAAGAAGGGAAAGACTTTGCTTGAGGTCACATAGCAGGTCAGGATGGAACTGGTACGAGCAGCTCTGTGCTCTTCCCCTTTGTCCCTGCTCATCTTTACCTGCTACCTGTTATGTTCAGCAAGTTCTCTGTGTTTCTGCACAGAGGTCCCGAGGCCTTTGAACCTCCAGGAAAACCCCAGCCAATGGAACCACTGAATTTCACCAGTGAGCTTCCGCCAATGCAGTGGGACTCTCAAAGTGAGGAATCTGCTTCCATCAGCTACGCTCTACATAACTCATTCCCGGATGTCTCTGGATGCGAGGTTCTACTCACTCCTCCCAACTCCCAGACCACTTTCTGCATGTGAACCTTTTTGTGTCCCAGCGCTTGCTCCTTCACTGGTTTGCCCACGCTTTATTCACTCCCCACTAATAACGAGTGGTATTTATTGAACACTTAACAAGTGTGCCAGCTACCGTGCTCGGCACACAACAGGCGTGAACTCATTTAATCCCGGAAACAGTCCCATGGAGTTGCGGCCATAGACTGGACGGGCATCTCCAAGGTGACTGAAAGACAGAATGAGCCGCTCAGATTGCCCAACTGTGGGAGCCGAGGGGGAATGGAAGGAAGGAAACGGGGGGTAGGGAGCCAGTGTGGGCCATGTGTAAACTAAAGAGAAAGCTGGTGGGCCGAGGTGGGAGGGAGACACACAGGACACCCAGTATGGAAAAGTACAGCCTTGAGGGGGTGACCTCGGGGTTTTGAATGCACACACCCCTGGCAACAAGAGAGATGCTTTCAAAAACATAAATTGGATCATATAACTTTGTGTAAATGTCTTCAATGACTTCTCACCACACTGAGAATAAAATCCAAAATGTTTTGGTGAGTTTTCTAATGTTCTATAATCTTAATCTCACACCATGTCCCTGCTATGCCTCAGCCACTGCTCTTCTACCACGTTTTTGAATGCCCGAGCCCCCTCCCACCACAGGGCCTTTACACTTGCTATTTTACCCACCTGGAAAAAAATTTTTTTTTTTCTCAGCAACTCACATTCCTGACTCCTTTTCTCCTCCTTTAGGTCTCTGCAGAAATGTCCCCTCCTTAGATTTCCCCTGACCACATCACCCAAGGAAGGTCCCTCTCTTGACATTGTTATTATCAGTCTCAGTTCCTTCCAAAGAACTTGCCACAATTAAAATAATTTTACTCAACTATTTATTTTCTGTTCATACCACTGTACTTATGTTCTTAACCCTGGCTGCACACCACAAGCGTAAAACAATGCAAGGTCTTCACCACACAAATATTCTTACTTAACTGGTCTGCAATGGAGCCCGAAGGTGCATTTGTTTTAAGAGCTCCCCTGGTGATTCAGTTTGGCCCCAGCCAAGGTTGACAATCAGTGCACTAGAGTGTCAGCCACATAAGGGCGGGGATCACATCAGTACTTCCAGATAAAGGCTTGGTAGATGTTTGTTGCATCAATACACTAAGGAAAAGAAACAGCAATTGCTTTCCAGCAGTGACAGTGGTTCCAGAATATGTGTTTCCCTATAATACACCCCTTTTCCTTAAGGTAGTCTGAGTAGAGCTCTACTCTTTAGAATCAATTCTTCTATTCTCAAAACCACCACCCTCACCGGAAGACAAGAGCCCTTGGTTTTCCCCAGTGCTGGAGAGGAGCACGACCCAAGCCTAAGTCTGTCAGACCATCTCTCCCTTCTCCCTTTGACTGGGTGTAGAGCAGCAGGGTGGGGCTGTGGGGAGGTCAGGGCCCATCTGCCTACCTGTCCATAGAGAGCTGAGCGACCAGGGTGACATCCGTGTTGTCCGAAGCGGGCTCATACTCATAGTGCAAGAAGTACAGGTGGGTTCGGTGGACAGTGAACCGCTCTCGCCGGAACTCATAACACAGGTCATCCTCATCGAGCTCAGAGAGCTGCTTCTGGAGCTGAAATGTAGGAGAAGAGGGTATGGGACCAAGAAGGGAAGCCCCAACGAGCCAGGAGCCTGCCCTTGCCTGAGTCGGTTACTCACTGGATGTTGGTGATGGGTCAAACATGGGAGGGCAGGATCACTGGCTTTAGTTTCCTCTGCAATTTAATTTTAAAAAGGCAATGATGAAGGGCAGTTGTCCTCGCCATCTGAGGAACAAGCCCCCTCTGAGCTGAGAATGATGGTGGTCACCACTGACAAATATAAAAGCAACCACAAACTCCTTAAAAACAAACAAAAAATGCTTTGGTAGGTGACCTAGTACAACAATTCCAAATAACAGGGAAGAAAATACCAAAATCCAAATGGAGCAGCGCCTTTGCATGAGCTTCTCTCCTGCCTAGAGCTACAGACTTTAATCTTTGTAGCAGGTATTGAAGAAAAAGACTAAACCACCCATAAACAAAATTTAAAAATCTGTTCCTTTCATTTCATCCAAGGCTTGACATCCACTCTTCTTTCTTGTTTCTAACTCTTGGGAAGTCCTGCTCCCTTAATCTGCCTGTAGAAGTTCTTCACATAGCTCTACTTGCCTTCCTACCCCAACCAGTGCAAGAGCTGGTTGACCTGCCAACAGGGAACGAAGGACTTAGCATCTGGCATGGGCAGATGCAGATGCACAACATCCAGATCTGAGGATGTGCAGCTGCCCAATCCACAACCATGTCATGCCAACCGCATCATATCCCTCCCAGGCAGGGGTGACTGGGCCTGCTTCACAGATGAAGATTTGCAAAGAAAAAGTAAGAGAACTTCAATAGGGCTAGAAATCAGATCACTGAAGGTGTGTGGGCAGAGTGGATAGACTGGGAAGAAGCAAGAGAGAACTTTTTTGGGGGATGGAAATGTTCTATGTCATGGTTACAGTGATGGTTACAAGTTGTGTATACATTTGTGGGAAGTCAACAAACTACACACTTAGAATGGGTGGATTTATTATATGCAAACTATATTTCAACTGAATTTGCCAAAGGTCATATGGCTGGTTCTAATATTTTTTCTGTGACATCAGCCTAGTCCATTACACGATGGCACATAGTTGAATGTAGATTACAGTTTACATGGCTAGAGCTACTAACCTAGCTGAATGTAACAGAGCAGTTTTCCAAGAAGAAGGTGTACATATATTTTAAATCTCCAAGCCAAGAGTGTAGTAAACAAGAATTATATTAACTCACTTCTGTATGACCCTCTCTGTTAAAACCATTGTCTTCATAGATAAAGCTAGATTAAGCTATAGCCTTATTTCTCAAGATACGTGTGACGGCCCATGACTGCGTTAATCCCTTCCATTCTTCACCCCCTCCCACATCTCTACTCTTTGTCATGAGACTTACTTTGGCTAATAAAATGGTAAGGAAGCAACGCTGTCCTAACAGTGAGACTAGACCTCAAGAAGAACTGCGTGTTTCTTGAACCTCCAGCACTACCACGAGAAAATGCCTGGGTGGCCCGCTGGAGCATGAGACATACCTGGAGTAGAGGAGAAGCTCTACAGTTGCCCCAGGTGTGGGAGCAAGCCCAGCCAAGCTCAGCTCAGCTGCCGAGATAAACACTTCTCACTGTATTCCACTGAGGTTTTATAGGTTGGGAGCCACAGATAACCGACAGGGGGTCACTGGCATTTTGTGCAGGGAGCTTTTGCATTATGCGACCTCTCCCATATATCCCCGAACAGTTAGCCTCCTGGGCCCCAGCCCACTAAATGCTTGTAGAGTTCTCCAGACAGCCTCGTACAACTCCAAATGCACCCACCTACTTCCAAATGCCACTTGGGGGATCAGTGGAGATTCAGTGATCGAGGAGATGTTCTCACCCATCATGAAGATTTTTAACTGTTAACAAGGATGCAATCAGGGAGACTTCCATTTTTGAAGTTTGAAGTCCTGGCCTATTCGAAGATTCATGTAAGCCCAGGACATGGGAATTCTCATTCTGTCTAATATTCTAGGAGCCAAGGGACCCCTTCTGACCTGCAGGATTAAATCCAGGTCCTTGCTGACAATCATATCCTCTCTCTCTGACCCATCACCACCCCCCACCCCCGTGTCCTCTGTATTTGCACCAGGGATCTCTCTGCTCCCCGAACCTGCCTTTCCCTCCTTCCCTCTGCGACTCTGTACATGTTCTTCCCTCTCTACTGCCCTCCCTCTCCTCACCTGCTCTTCTCCACTAGGGGGCCTTCTACTTACCTTTCAAGATTCAGCCAGGATGACACCTCGTCTGTCTGAGACCTCTGTTAGCCCTGCCAGGTAGAGCTGGTCCACTTCTCTGTGCCTCAAGAGCCCTCAATTCATAACTCTGCTAAAGCACTTGTCAGTTTGAACTGAAATTATTTAAGGGCAACTTTCCTGGTGACACAGTGACACTTTACCATTGCCCCTAGCACCGTGCCCATGGCATGACAGATGCTTAATATTCATGTGCTGCATGCATGAGAAATATCTGCTACATGAAGACTGCAATCATTAGAAGGCCTGTCTTCTAATTTTCCTATCATATTCTCTAATGTTATGCATAGAAGGTGATCATCTTTAAGCCCATTATTTGCTCCTATATTTGTGGTTCAAGGGTCTGTGATGGCTGAAAACGTGTTGGACAGCAAACAAACATGCACTTGGCTCTGTGCAAGATGCTGTGTACATGTGATGCCCTTCCTTGGAGTCTTCCAGTGAGGCACGTGCAGCCTCATTTGACAGCTGAAAAGCAGTTTCGAGATCTTGAGGTCACTCAGGGAGGTTGAACTGGGGCCTGTGTCCTTTTACTACCCAGCTATCCCTCCAGGAAAGGTGCTCATTCAGCCTTGGGTCAAGAAGCACACAAGCACCGTGGCTGAGGTGACGGGTTCTATCCCACTCCTGTCTGTACAGTCTTGGGCGAGTGGGGGAGGTGCTTAACCCTTCGGAGCTTCAACTTCCTCAAGCGTAAGATGGGGAAGATAATAGGAACTACCCAGGGGGCTGTAGGAGGGTTCCAAGAGATTCTGCATGTGCAGAGTACAGTGTTTGGAGTAAAGACACAGCAGACGTCATCTATTTCCACGGTGGCTATCAGAGTTCGGAAGGGGAGACACCTGGGTGGATGCTTTCTGTCCTCAGCCACCACCTGGAGGAGACAGTAGGGTGAGGGCAGGGAAAGCAGCAATCTCGCTGAGCCTGGATAGTGCTTCTGTCTCATGAGTGTTGGAGATACTCCCCACATCTTCCTCCCTGAGGAGCCCAAATATACCTAGAAACCACAATGTCACCCCCCAATGGGGAACTTAACCAACTCATACCCTCCTTCTCTCTCACCCACACTGCAAAAGAACACTCGCAATTATTCCCTTTTAGAGAATAAAAATCTGGAAAGCTCTTTGCAAAAGCAGGGTTGTTTCGGGGGGGGTTGATTTGTGTGGTGTTTTTAATGTGTTGACAGGAGTGCATGGCTTCAGTTCAGTGAAGACAGGAGTGGGAACATGTGAGGACGTGTATAGATGTGTGTGTGTGTGTGGGGGGGTCTTTCTTTGATAAGCCTTCAAAGAGAAGGTATCCTCATCATGTGAGAAAGGAAATTAGTGGCCAGAGCATGAGAATTAGTGGCCAGAGCATGTGTGTATAGGGATTTCTCTCTATATACACAGGCACATACCCTTGAGTCAGGAAAAAAAAAAACAAAACATTCCGAGGTAAATAGCTCCAGGAGCCATCTTCTGAAAAGCACCCATATATAGTGGGCTCCTCAAGGCAGGAGCTGTGTTGCATTCATCTCTCAATTTCCTGTACCTAGAACATCTAGAGCACCCTGTGTACACAACATGCCTCTACTGGACGTACTCACAGCCATGTACTCATGTTAAAAAAGGAACGGTGACCAATGAAAGTGCTCCCAGAACTAACAGAGCATGGCCTGATGTGGCTGGGAGGGTCTACCAGCAGTCCTGGGGGATAAGTAGCCTCTATGAACTTCCTGGTACCAATGATGTGGTTCAGTGGCATCCACATCCCTACGTCACCTGTGGCCATCACAGTGCTTTAGGGGTAGGGTCTAGGGAATACTGCCGTCTATCAACCACACTGGGTATTGTGGCAAAAGCACATCAACTATGATGTCCGACATACGATGTCAAAATCTATGGGACTCTGGACCAACCAGATTGCCTTCCTTGAGTTTAATGTTATGAACACTCTCAACATAGCGGTTTGTACCTTGGCTCAGCTAATATGGATGAAGCACCTGCTCTGTGCCAGATGCGATGCTAAATGTTTTCAGATGGATTGCTTTATTAATTTAATCCTTCAGCACACATCTCTGTTTTACAAAGGAGGAAACTGAGGCTCAGAGAATTTCAAAAATCTGCCAGTTACACGGCTAGGGAGAAGCAGTTCTGGACTGAGACTCCAGTCTTGGGACCTCACACCAGGGCAATCTTTGCAGTGTGATGACTCCTCTCCCAGGGGATGGATGCAAGGATCAAAGAGATGGTGGAAGACACAATGCTCCATGAAAAAGCAGGCCATAAAAATGCATATGCAGTATGATCCCAATAGAACAGAGAGACAAACAAACAAAAAGCCACATAGAAAACAGACCAAAGGGAACACATTACAATGTTAACAAAGCTTTTCTCTGACTAGTGGGTTCACAGATGAATTGTATTGGCTTCTTTCTACTTTTCTGTCCTTAACGAGTTCCCTGCAATTTTCTCAAAGGAGCTAATGCATGTAAAAGTGCTTTGTAAACTGTAAAGTGCTACACAAAACCCAAGCAATATTATGATTACATTATGTACCTTTTCAAATTTTAATCTAGGATTTCTTATTGCTGACTGCATGGCTGATGTTATCTCAGGGGGAAGGCGGGAACAGCTTAGAAACGACCTCCTTTCCCACCCAGGGTATGGGTGATTTCTCCGGGGAGATGCTGAGCTGGAAGGAGGGCTTTCATTAACAGGGCCTGAACGCTACCGTACTCCAT